TCCAATCTACTGCCCTATGTTCTTCTTCGTTTAAAACCCCAGTCCTTTCTGAATCTTCTTACAATATTTCGCCTCAACAATATCTTAAAGCCGTGAGCTCCACAGTTTAACCTCTGGGGGCCGAGTCCTGAGGGCCATACTCACTGTTTACTCAGCCAAACTTCTGCTCCCTTTAGAGGAGCAGCGTGGTCAGTGGATAGGCACTGGAGTGGAACTCAAGACACCTGCATTCTATTCCCAACCCTGCTACTGACCTGCTGCGAGTCGTGTCATCATTCTGTGCCTCGGTTTCCCCTCCTGCCCTTTGCCTATTTAGACTATAAGATCTTTGGGGCACAAACAAGCTCACTATGTGTATATACTGTGCCTAGCACAATGGGGCCCTGATTTTGCTTAGGCCCTCTAAACACTAGTGTAATATAAATAATAATTGGGAATTGCAGATGCTCTTTCCCTCTCAAGATTTGGCCATGTTGAAAGCTATACCTTTTCTAGTTTATTCCCTTGCAAATACAGCTGCGCATCTTACTCCCTGTCTTTGGACCGCTACTGCACGCTGAGAAAACTTCACTGAGTTGGCCCCAGCCCTGCAGAGATACTTCTTTCTGAAAGCCTCTAGCTCATGCAGTATTCTGCCGTGTGTAAATGGTTTAAATTGCTCCTTCAACTGTGCATTACAATGTATTATGCTGTGGTTGTCCCCTCTCTCCTTCCTCTTCCTCTTCGCAGAGGCAATCAGAATATCCACAGAGTAATGGTGAGTAAACATGACCCTGGCCTCCCCCTAGGAGGTTTTCAGACCAAGTGTAATGTGTCTGAACTCTTCCGTTAGCAACACTTGAACGCCTGGGTGTATATAGTGGGATGTGATTCATATGCCAGAGGTTGCAGTCAGTGGCCGATGGTCTCACTCCACGGCTGGTTGAGGAGAGAGTAAGCTGATGCTATTGTGAAATAACAATTTGGACAGGAAGTGATCACGGGATAACTGAAGGGTGTAGCAGCGACATGGGAGCAAAGGAAGGATGAATTCTGGCAGCCTTTCAGAGCAGGCTGAGAGGCAAAGGGAAATGGAGAGGAAAAGGTAAGCTAGGCTGAAAGGTGAGGCCAAGATTTCTAGACTTAGGAGCGAATTGAAGGTGTCCAGTTAAAGGAAGAGACAGCCCGGTCAGAGATGTGGAACACAGAGGACTCTTCTCCCCGTGGAAGTCCTTGAGGAATTCAGGAAAGGGAATCTGTAGTGTAGTCAGGAGGTGACTGATTCAAGACAGGAAGGGAGTGGGGAGGGGTGAAGGCATGCATCAAGGCAGAGAGAGGGCCAATTCAGGCCCAGTGTAAGTGGACGAAACTCCACTGCTTATAGCTAGAGCTTATACCACCAGAAACATCTGGGTCAGATCCTCAGCTGCTGTAAATCGGTGTAATGCCATTGACTTCAGTGGAGCCACACTGAATTACACCAGTGGAGAATCTGGCCCTCTGCTTGGCTTCCTGCTGCCTCCGTCCTGACCACTTGAGGGGGCCTGCAGCAGTCTCCAGTTGAACTTGCGGGGGGTGGGGCAGAGCTTTCCCTGGCAAATGAGAAAAACACTGTATCTTCATCCTGCTTCATCTTCCCAGGATTTCCGACTGAAAAGGCCCTGACTGATTCCATCTGGCAGGCCGACCATGCTTCAAAGACTGCAAATCCCGGGACTTTTTAACTTACAAACAAAAACATGCATAACAAAAAAATAAAAAAAAATATAAAAAAAAAAGATAGTTCTCCCTGGGGAGAGTAACTCCAGTCTATGAGAAATCAAAAACAAGGCTCAGCTCTTGCGTCCACTGACTCCAGTATGTTTTCTGTTCCTTTTAAAATTAAACCAATGCTACGGCCTCCTCTGCTTGACACCTACCATCTGTGTCAGCTCCGATTCCCCAGCCTCTCGGTGTGCGTACATGGGGAGAGGCTGAGAGGATTTGAGGACTTCAATAGCTCAGACATAGATGAGAGGTTTTTCGCAGGAGTGGGTGGGTGAGATTCTGTGGCCTGCGTTGTGCAGGAGGTCAGACTAGATGATCATAATGGTCTCTTCTGACCTTAATATCTATGAATCTATCAATCTATGAAAGGGAAAAGCCGAAGAGGAAGGAGAGGACTGGCAATGACCTGCCATTGGTTACCACTTCTTCTGACACAAAGACGAACGTTCGAGGCCTGGCACACTGAAATTCTTGTACCGGGGTGGGCAAAATGAAGCATGACTCATGCATGAGCAGACCACTAGCGCCAAGAGTCACACTCAGCACCCCCCGAGTTTCTGCGGGCACTGCGAGCCACACCCAACTGTGCTCATCTAAGGAGCCATGCTCTCAGCTGACCCGGAATAGATTCTTAGACACTCAGTGCACCTACGGTGCGGATAGAGGTGGAATTCCCTTCTGCTCTTCCTCCATTTTGAGCCCTGGAGCAAGCTAGAGCAGGCTGTTCTACACTACGCCTGATTACCACTGGCCCATCTGGAGCCCTGCGCATTCAGACCACACCTCCAGCCTCTCCCTTTGCACTGAGAAGTCAGGCTAGCCCAGAGCTGGCTAGGCTGGCTTTTGCCCAGCTCTGGGTTTTCAGATGCATGGGGAATCCTCACTGAACCACCCTTCCATTCCCCATGCACTGTGAGAGTGGCACAAAGGGGCCAGGATCTTGCCCTCTATGTTGTAAAAGCCACTCGGCTAGATCTAGGATGTAAGATCCCAGTCTCTCCGGCAGGGTGCACGCTCACATGCAGGGCTTGAGTCACTCCTCATTCTGCCTGGACACTCTGTCCCCTTTTTACCGCCCCTCAGGATGGCATCTATGGCAGAATTTAGCCATTCCATATAGTGCCCAACAGCACCACTCAATACATATTAGTCATAGAATCACAAAAGATTAGGGTTGAAAGAGACCTCAGGAGGTCATCTAGTCCAACCCCCTGCTCTAAGCAGGACCAACCCCAACTAAATCATCCCAGCCAGGGCTTTGTCAAGTCAGGCCTTAAAAACCTCTAAGGATGGAGATTCCACCATCTCTCTTGGTAACCCATTCCAGTGCTTCACCACCCTCCTAGTGAAATAGTTTTTCCTAATATCCAATCTAGGCCTCCCACACTGCAATTTGAGACCATTGCTCCTTGTTCTGTCATCTGCCACCACTAAGAACAGCAGAGCTCCATCCTCTTTGTAATCCCCCTTCCAGTAGCTGAAGGCTGCTATCAAATTCCCCTTTAATAAGGACTATAGCTGTGGCAAATTTTCACATCTTTCAACCATTTGAGCTATCATCATTACTCCCATAACTGCATTGATCATTGGGGCACCATCACTGATGAGCAATCAACCAATTGTCTCCACCCCTGACGATTGTGTGTCAGTGCTGAGTCTCCGCGAAGTCCATTCCTGTCTACTCTTTTATGTTGTCAATCCATCTCTTCTTCCGTCTACCTCTTTTTCTCTTCCCCTGGAGGATGATCTTGGATAGGCCAGATGATCTTGTTACATGGCCATACCACTTCAGCTTGCACTTCATGGTCATCAGGAGTCTTCATATGACCCAGCGCATCAGGTGATGATGTTGTGGACCTTTTCATTAGTGACGTGGTCGAAATAGGAGATGCCCAGGATTTTACGGAAGCATCTCCTCTCTACTACCTGTATTTTCCGTTCAAGTTCTGCCGTAAGGGTCCATGTCCATGGAGATGACCAATGCGGGCCTGTGAAACAGGAGGTTGTGAACTGAAACTGGCTATCAACTGTGAGCTGTAGCTCACGAAAGCTTATGCTCAGATAAATTTGTTAATCTCTAAGGTGCCACAAGTACTCCTTTTCTTTTTGCGAATATAGACTAACACAGCTGCTACTCTGAAACCTGTAATTACAGTGAGTGCCACCAAACCCCAGGTAACTAACACTTTGCACTTCTCTTACCCTTCCACAAGGAGCTTAACCTTTCATCAACACAGCCGCACGACATCCTGGTGATGTAGGTATTCTTGTCATAGAAGGGTAAACTGAGGCACAGCGAGGTGAAGGATAGGGCTGTGACCTCCCCCCCTTACTCAGGTTGACTAGTACCTTCTGGCATGAGTAACCTCACTGAAGTCAATGGAACTGCTTGTGGAGTAAGGTACTACTTGCTGGGAGTAAGGATATCACAATCTGATCCTGAGTGACTTTCACAGAGCAAGTCAATGGCAAAGCCAGGACTGTAACTCAGGAGTCCTGACTCTCAATCCCCGGCTCTAACTGCTAGACTAGATTATCTTGCTCCGTAACACAAATGACTTCAATACCTATGTGAGCAACAGTGAGAACAATGAATACTAAGCCTTGAGCCACTTCTTTGCCATGCTCTTCCCATGCTGCACGTGATTCAAATTTCATGTCCCATGTACATGCCTCTCTGGCCCAGGCGCAACCTGTACCACCTCTCCCTGGTGTCTGAAGAATCACTGTGGAATACAGGATTCCAATTCCCCTTAAACAGACCTGACCCCAGATCCGTCACTGACGTCGCAGAGACATCACAGAGACGCCAAGTTGTCGAATGCTTTCAGCAGGGCACCCTGGGGGAATTGCCTCAATTGTTTTCCAGTAGGTAAAATCCCTTCTGTACGTCAGTGAGCAAACTATGCAGAAAAAATTTTGCCATGACTCAGAGCAGCTCTCCAACGCTGTGGGATGGGAAGCGGGGGATAGGAGGAGGGGTGTTGGTACATCCTATGTACCACTAAGCCACAGGCATGAGTTTTTGGAGCTGACATTGCCAGGAGCACAGTGGATCCTTTATGAGTGCTTTCTAAAGCGGGAGGGCTTGCAATAAAAAATAAAGTATCTGAGATATTATTGTCAACAGCCACATCTTCCAAGATGAGGTGAACAGTGCAGAGTACCTGGAGAACGTAGGCAGTACCTGCTAAACACCCAGCCGCGGTGCTGGGGGAAGACTGTTCACATAACCGGTTTATTCCTTTTAGCAGGATTCCTTACCGATGACTAAGTGATCATCCTGGGTCTGCCAAGCCTACGGGTTTTCCCCACAGACTACCAGCTTTTTGGCCCCTGCTACAGGGAAATCCCAAGAATCTACACATCAGATCCTCGGCCCCAGGTAAGTCCCTCTATGCTGCTGCAGTGAAGCAAAGGGCTTTTAAAGCTGGTTTCACACAGCAGCCCCGGCTCCCCCTATCATAAAGCAATTCTCAGCTTCTGCTTGAAGGTAGCTTTAAGTTCCCTGTAATAAAGAACTCCGTGACAGGTACAGGGAAAGTTACTCCATGCCACTGTGAAGTAGGGGTGGTGTGGTGCCAGAAGGGGGTGGGGCTAGACCACACTGGGTTCCAGCAGCCCTGGCTGGCCTAGCAGCTCCTAGGTGCTCAGCACATTCTGAAAATCAGGGCCTTCTAAAGGTACCCCAAAATTATTAGTCACTTGGGATAATGTTGGCTATACAGCTATAAAAATGCTTCCTACATTTTGATAGCCTCTTTCATCCCAGGTACTTCATAGACTGCATATATATTTTAACCATCTACTTTTTTTTATCCAGTGATTGCTCACAACTGAAATGCATCCATCTCTGGGGTAGAATATGGCAGTCATTCCTCATGTGCATGTCACAAAGTGGAGTGTGGGAGGTGAAGAATCGCTGCAGATACAGGAGGAATTTGAAGTAGATCAAAATATCCCATATTGCTCTCCAGGGCCTGATTCTCTCCCGCCTTGCCCCTAGGGCTGTGATTCACACCTGAAACTCCACCAGATCAGAATGGCAACATATTATACTCAATTTGCATAAATGATGATACAGGGTTTGTCTACCCTGGGAGCTGGAGGTGTAATTTCCAGCTGGAGCAGACATACCCAGGCTAGCTCTGATGGAGCTAGCATGTTAAAAATAGTGCAGCTGGGTTCGCATAAACACCAGGAAGGGCTAGGCACCCAACATACCTACCTATCCATACATACTCAGATGGGCCCCTCAGCTACCCTCTATTTTTAGTGCAGTAGCTCGATCAGTGTTTGCATAGTAGGTATGTCTCCTTGATCTGGGGGTGATGCCCCCACCTCAAAGGATAGACTCACCCATAGTGTAAGGCAGCGGATAATCCAGGCCTCTGATCTTATGGGCCTGTTTCACCTCTCACTTGCACGTCTCTAAATCAGGAGCAGCTCCATTGCCCAGAAGAAGTAGACACACTTACAGAAGGCCAGGGCTTAATTTGACAGAGCCCATTAAAGATGGTTGTAGGGGTGGCATTTTCATCACTGGGGGCTGAATTAGATTTCACACATATATATGTCCTGCAGTAACCTAGCATGCCTAGGAAATGGGATTCCTCCCCCCCCCCAATGCAAACCATAAGTGTCATGTACCCTCTTGCTAGCATTATTGTTGTTTGTTTGAATAGATGTCTTGCCGAGTCACTTGCCCTGACCTTTAGCCATGGAGGAGCTAAAATCGAACAAAATACTGTAGTAAAGTGATATCAAGTGGGAAATGCAAGACAGCCAAGGAATCCACAGTTAAGGCTGAAACTCTCATCTTACTCCTAACACATCAGGGTAAGTTAAGGACAGGGATGCAACAGTAATACTGACTTTCTTTGATTTTTGTGGTTTAAGACAGGCCTTCAATGTTACTTGAACATATTTGGAACGGATTTAATTTCCTTTGATTTATTGTCTTTTATTTTTACCCAGTAATAAACGAAGCTCCTTTTTCTCTCCATGTCCTAAGGCACACATACCCTCTGCATCTCTGCAGGGCACAAAGGAAGAAGTGGCTGGGAGCCGTTTTAAATACTTGAAAAATATATTAGTATTGATCTGACAACCTGTCTCAAAATTTCATGTGGATTGGGTCAGAAACTGGAGCCTGCAGAATGTTAACATCAGGGAGGTGTGAATCCTGCAGAGTAGAAAGATTAGTTGAAAACCATTTCAGTTCGGAAAGTAGTTTTCCATGAATATTTTCCCCTTATAATTTAGACCAAATTCATTAGTGCCCCCCCACAAGGGTCAGTCATTTAAAAAACAAACAAACAAAAACTAGCATATTTTCCAAACGGAAAAGAAGATGGAGCTATTTACTAGGAATGGAAAAGCTGCTCTAAATCCACATTGACATAGTGGGTGCCCTGTATATTACAGATGGAACTGGTAGCACCGCTTACAGTTCATGTTGCCTGACACTTCCCATTATAAGCGTAGAACTTTGCCAAACTTTAACCATTTGTGCTGAAATTTTCCATGCTGGGTGTCTGCCTCATTTTGAATTTTTTGGGGAAGATTCCTCAAAAAAAAATGGCTCAGCCATAGCCAAGACCAAGATTAGGGAAAAATGCATTGTTTTATCCATGTTAAAAATTCTTGTAGCCCCTTCATTGAGAAGCTCTAGCACCTCCAGGTTTTGAAGCAGAGGCTTGACATTTGGTTGGAGTGTGTGTGTGGGGGGGTGTCACTCTGATATCAGGAATGAGCCTTTTGCTGTTCCTGTGAAAAACTACGCACATCTGGCCAAGTTATAAGTATTCAAAAATCTGTTTGTATATACTTAGTAAAGACTTGTTAGAGGTTGGCAGGTAGATTCTCCAAAAAAGTCCACCTGCACTCCCCATGCTCCATCCCCTCAGAACTCCTTGGTGCTGACTGCACTGAGCATATTTGTGATGGGGCTGGCTCCCTATACTGGCCCAGAGGGGGTTGAATTAGGCCAGGTGGGCCCACTCAGCCAATGAAGCAGATAACAGGGGAGAGATTTAGGTTAGGAGGGGGCTGGTAATTGCAAGCAAGCTCACCTGTGAGGAAACAGGCAGGGCTTATGTGAAGCAGAGACTAGCAACTGAAAGAGGGCTGCAAGGTGAAGAGTGACAGTCGCTTTCCCTGAGGGAAGAAGGGATAGGAATCCCTCAGGCCCCAGTGGACTCCAGGAGAGAGGGGTCTGACTAGAATGGGTGAAAGTAAGTTAGGAAGAAGTCCAAGGGTGAGAGCAGTAAGGTTAGAGAAGCTGCACACCTTGACTGCTTGGAAAAGGGCCCTGGACTGGAACCTGAGTTCCAGAGTGGTACGGCTTGGGACAGTGAACTAGAAGACTGCCTGGGGGTCACTGCAGGAATGGCAGGGTCAGGGTGGTGGGTGTGATGACTGATGCCACTTGAGCAGAAAGGCTTTGAATGACTCAACCTTGAAAGGGGAATCCACTTAGTGATTTGGCGTGAGGGCTGTATCGCAAAAGAGGATGCTACAGCTCCTGGAGTGAGAGAGAGTGATGAAGTGCAACTGCAGGAAGGGGCATCTGCCTGGCAGTGCTAATCACCAGAAGGGGGCGCTGTTGAGTAGAGCACCCTGTCACAATGCTCCATCGTGGAGCTGTCGGGGTTTAGCAGTACTTTCCCTGCAACGGGTACTCACAGCAGCTGTAGGACAGAAACTGTGACTGGAGAGACTGTCTGTCTCTCCTGTATTCTGATTGCCCAGGAACCCTACTGGACATGGAGGGGAGACAGCCAGACTCAAATGCAGAAGACAAGAGCTGGACCTGGTGGGGGATGCAGCAGAGGGGAAGACTAGAGTGGGGATTGGAGAGCCTGGAGGAAGCTGAGGAAGACTGGGAGCCAGTGCGGGAGGCAAAAGACAGGAAGAGGAGCTGGGCTGATGGGACTGGAAAATGAAGGGGAGGGAATTGGAGATGACTGGGACTGGCAGGGTAAAGAGCCTGGGCAGCATTAGAGTGGGATGAGGAGCCTGGGGAGAGAGACTAGAACTTGGATGGGAAGCCCGGAGTTGGCAACTGTCTTTCCCAGTCTCATGCTAAGTGGGTTAAAATATCAAGCAAAATGTGTACACTTGCCAGTAGTTAACATAAAGATATGTAATAAAATAGGTTTGGGGAGGAAGCGGGAATAATCTGAACTGCACAGATAGATGATAGGCTATTCATCATATATCTCTACTGGGACCCATCTTCTCCATCCTGCCAATCAGTCAATTTGTCTGAAAGATAATCTACCATATACTCAGCTAGTATAAATCAGTTTAGCACCACTGAAATCAATGGAGTATCATCAGTTTACATCAGCTCAGGATCTGGCCTATGGTCTTCTAGTTCATCCACAAGTTATTCATCTCAATAATGATCACTAAGGCCCAAGGTTCAGCTTAACTTTAAACATGTGCTTAAGTGCTTTGATGAACCGGGGGCGGGGGGCCTTAGATAGCAGGAAAACCAGTTGCTTCCATGGCAGGAGTTTCTGCATGGGACTTCTATGGCCTCTTTCTGGAGGAGGGCTGACTTGATGATCCTAGTGGTCCTTCTGGACTCAATATCTATGACTCGATCTTTCTTTCACTTCTCCCTGTATTGCATTTCAAACCCAGGCCTATTTCACATGTACTTCTTGGACAACATCCCCCTTCTATGCTCTTTCTGTTCCATGACCCTTCTGGCAGATCTTCTGTCCTCATTACTCACACTGACACATTTTGTAACATACAGAGCTAACCTTCAAAATCCAGCTTTTGAATTTTCCTGAAATCTGTAAAAGAAAATACACCCCCCACCCACATTTAAAAAAAAATACTTGTTTCAGGTCCCAGTGGGTGAAAACCCCAGGATGGGAAAGTGAAGATAAACATAGCAGAGCTTTTCAGAATTTTTTATTTGAAGTTCCAGCTCGTGCTGCTCTCTAGTTTTGCCATCGTAAAAGAAAATCTAAAGCCCCTACATTGCAATAGCAAGGCAGCCAGTGTATGTATACTTTAAACCCCAAGAGGGCTGAAAATTCCGACTCCGAGTTCCCAGTGTCAGAAGTGTAGTACAATAAACCATTGTGTTTTGTTTAAAATATGGCAGCTCAACTTGTCTTGTGTTTCGACAGAGGGTTTTGCAATGGTGGTGAAGAGAGACAGGTGAAAGGTTTAGTTGTTTCCTGAACCCTCTCCCATTTCCCTCTGACACTTCTGGAGTCAAATCCATTCACTTCTAAATGTTGCAATGTTTGTGTTTCGATTAAAACCTCATCAGTTTTAAAAATCCTCTCCAATCCATTCAGGCAAGTGTTTTTTAAAAGGAGGTTTAGACCATATGGTTTGACATCCAATATATGGATGATGGAACTGCACAGGAGAGTGCAAGGAGAAAATCAGGTATTGTCTGGCAGCTCTAAAATGGATTATGACTTCTTTTGGATTACGGCTTTTAAAGGAACAGTGTTAAATACCTTTTTGCAGGGACATTGTCAGCTAATGGAATAAACAGAATTTTGACAAACCAATAGTCTGACTTGGCTCTGCTGTTCTCTACGGAGTTTCATTATGGGTTTATTTAAATATTTGGATGACGTCTGGATAGTGGGAAAAAATGTTTATGAATCTAGAAAGTACCACAAACATTCACACAAGTTTGTTTTGTCCAAAAAAGTGAACTAAAAGTGACTTCTTGGCTATTCATCATTATTTACTGTCTTGTTTTAAAGCTTTCAGTCATCCAGTCAAAGAGCAGAAACAGTATCATGTGACAAATCACACATGACAAATAGCAAACAGTCGAAGTGAACAGCTTGCAAACGATTTGTCCAGACATTTCAGTAAAGTCCTTTGAATATGGAGACAGCCTTTAAGGGAATTAGGCACCAAAATGCCATGGAATTTCTAACTTCCCTGACTCCCACAGATGCCTTTGAAAATCCTCATCAGAAATTACAGATCCATCTGGAGAAATCAGGATTGGTTTGCGAACAATTGGCAAGGAGAATAAAGAGAGTTAAATTCCCAATAAATATTATTTATAGTGACTAAACCACCCACCTCTGCTTTTAATAGACAAATCATTTACTGTCCACTGATTGTGATGCCCTTTCAGGAGTTTTGGGGAAAAAAATCTTGTCCTGTTTTGTTTGATAAAACTTAACATTTTTTTTTCTTGTGTCCTTAACAGGGGTTGTTCCAGTCTCCGTTTCTTCGAGTATTTTTTTAATCCCAATAAGACCAGTGGTCTGACGTGAGATTTGAGCATTGTTCTAGGGTCATGAACATTCTGAAATAATCGAAGCTAGACAAAGAGATGTTCAGATCTCCACGTACGTCACCCCTGCAAGGACAAGTGTGATGGGGTACCTCCCGCACACAGCTGGTGAAAGGATTAATGTGAGTCTGAGATGCCAATTAACCCACCTGGTTGTGGGTGAGCCAGCTCTAATTAATGATGGCACCTAGCTGGGGAGGGGCTGGATGGTGCTATAAACAGAGGAAGTTTGGCCACTGTATGGAGAAGCTCTGCAGTCATGGTTTAGATAGTGAAGAGCATGTCAGGGAGTAAGAAGACTCTTGTAGGGTGAGGAGAAAGCCTAGGGAAATGCTTGATAGGAAGAAGTCCAGAGAGGTTGCAGCAAGGATCCTGGTGCAGTGAATCTTGACTGCTTTTCGTATGGTCCCTAGACTAGCATGATAGCATATAGCCCTTGAAAAGAGGGTGTGGACTACTGAAAGCCCTGAGAAAAGGATGTCTGGCCCACTGTGTCTGAGAGTGGGATGCGAATAGCAGTGAATAGCAGTTGAAGCAGGAG